ACCCAACCTACAAAAATAATGGAGACTGAGAAGGCACTACCCAACCTTGCTTCCCTGTCTGATCACTGCCTGGATTTTTCCCCTCTGGTGGCAGATTACCTGAAGCCAGTGGTGAGGGGGCCCCTCAAGGCAGATATTATGGGACACTAGAACAGCCCACAGAGTAGCAGGGCCAGTGGAACTCAGGGACACATGCAAATACCCGTGCAGAATATTTTACATGTACACTCTGTCGTCTTTGTGAAACCTGAAAACTCAAGCATAAGCTGACAAGAGTTGTGTTTTCTAAAGTCAACATCATTTGTATCAACTTGAAAAAATATTAATATGCATTTTATAAACATTTCTTTGGTTTGTAGTTTTAGTGCTATTATGTTTTATGAGCCATTTATGAGAATCCCTTGGCTGCCCCATGCAGTCGGAACACGTGCCCTGAAGAGTGCTGTGTCTTTCACTGATTCACCTGTCCATTCACAAGGATTTCTTCTGAGTGCATACTCTGCAAACCAGTGTGACTCAGGGATAGAAAGACAAACATATGGCCCCTGCCTTTCCAGCTGCCTACATTTTAGTTAAAAGCATAATTTGTTGGAAAATGGCAACACAATCTTGAGGGTAACAAAGAGTACTCATCTCAGTTTTCTTGCTGCCTGGGGTTTTGTTTTAAGAAGGGTATCCAGGATCCATCTGGGCTCAGTGGAAAAATCTACTTTGTCTGATTAGTCATATCTGACGTGGGCATGGGAGCAGAGAACATACCCAGTGAATGCCTGGTTTGGGCTGATTGTGCTTTAATTACATGGTAGAATGAATTTATTCCTGTAATGAAAGTAAGAGCAATTTTCAGAAGAGGGCAGACAGAAGGGCAACTTTAGATGAGGAATATCTTCCATAATGGAAGCGGGGAAGTGAATGTTAAGGATTTCCAGTAAGGAACATGAGAGGGAAGGGAAAAGTCAAAATAAGAACTCATGACAGATGGTGTAAGTGAGCCACAGGGACATGGAGCTGGCAAAGCAGTAAGTGATGGGAATAAATTAATGAGAGGCTATCATAATGAATTGGGGGATAGTTTTGTAGCAAGTGGGTTACAGTAAGAGAGCTTTTGAAAAGAGACTGTCCAATGTTCTTAGGAAAAGCTTTGAATCAGCAGTTTGTAATCCTCGCTTCTCAGGAGGCTAAGGTCTGAGGATCACCATTTAAAGCCAGCCTGGGCAGGTAAATCTGTGATACTCATCTCCAATTAATCAGCAAAAAGCCAGAAGTGGAGCTGTGGCTCAAATGGTAGAGTGCCAACCTTGAGCAAAAAACTTAGGAACACTAAGTGCCCAGGCCCTGAGTGTCTGTCACAGTATCAGCTTGTGTGTGCATGCATGTACACTCACACATGTATACACATAAACACACATACACAGAGTGAATCTAGGTGTTTAAATAACTAAAATGTTTGTATAGTAGAGAGTGAAGAGGACTAGACTTGACATTAGGAAAGTATTGTCACCACATTGGACATCTTTCAGGAGAGTTATGGCTGAAATATTCACAAGAAATTATACCAGCTATTATTTGACATTATGAGTCTAGTTCAGAAAGAAAAAATACCAGGGAGAAAGTCCACATCTAAAAAAATTCTATTATTATAACTGGTTATGTAAATTCTCCAACTTAAAGTGCTGTCAAAATTATTTTTTTTTAAAAAAATTCAGAGACAGCTGAGGGTCAGTGGCTCAATCTGTAATCCTAGCTACTCAGAAGGCTGAGATATAAGGATTACAGTTTGAAGCCAGCAGCAGCAGGAAAGCCTGTAAGACTGTCATCTCTAATTTGCTACCACAAATAGCCATAAGTAGAGCTGAGGCTCAAGTGGTAGACTGCTAGCCTTAAGCAAAATAGCTCAGGGAAAGGTCCAGGCCTTTAGTTGAAGCCCTGGAGCAGCGCGCACGAGCACGCGTGCGCGCGCGCGCGCGCGCGCACACACACACACACACACACAGTTCAGAGACAAAAATTATTAGGGGATAAACATGACTTCTACAACGATAAGGTTAGGGATGAATTTGGTTTATCCTACTCAGGTCAGTATTCATTCTTTTTTGCTGCAGAGTAATGTAATTGAATATAGGATACTGAGTTTTATATTAAATAATACGCAACAAATTACCTTTGAAGAAAATGGATGAATAAGTACTAAAACATATTTTGGCCTCAGGTTTTATGTTTGATTTTAATTTTTGTATATGTGTGTTAGCTTATACTCAAAGCTTCCCACTCTTGCTTGGCTTTTTTGTCTAAGGCTGGTACTCTACCACTTGAGCTATAGCTCTATTTTCAGGATTTTGCTGTAATTGGAAGTAAGAGTCTCTTGGATTTGTCTTCCCAGGATGGCTTTGAATTGAGATTCTAGATCTCAGTGTTTTGAGTAGATAAAATTACAGGCTTGAGCCATAGGTGCTGGGTTTGGTTTTAAGGTTTTAGTTGAAGCAGTGTGGGCATATATCAATACTTACATTATTTTGTTATGTCACATTTTAAGAAATTAATGTCATAGTTTTGGTGCATTTACTTAAGGTTTAAACCCAGGACCTTGGGCATGGTTAGGCATTTGGTGGCTAATTGGAAATAAGAGTCTCATAGATTGATCTGGCTGCAAACGTTGGTCCTCAGATCTTAGTCTCCTGACTTCTTAGTAGCTAGAATTACAGGTGTGAGCCACCCTGTGCACATTTTGAAGAATTTTGAAGAAAATTTTGGTAAGTGCACTAATACACTTTTCTGTACACTAATGCTTGGTGTTTTTATTTAAAGAAGTGGTATGTTCCATCTACCTTCTTAAGTTTACGAAGAACTAATGTACAAAATTCAACATAAGTAAATGGTAGGCCAACAAAACATTTTTTTAAAAGCATTCTGAGTGAATATGATTTTTCAACGTTTGAAAGTGCAACAAAAAACAAATAAAATAAATGACCCTCTCTTGATCGAACCAGCATGCCATAAGTACCACCTATGCCTTTGGTGCTTCTAACAGTGAAATGAATGGCATGTCTTCATTTTTGAGATGAAGAAACAGATCCTAAGATGATAAGTGGCATGATGCAGGTCACCTTCCAGTAAGCAACAAACTTCCTTCCCTTTCCATTCCACCTAGACAGGAGAGATGATGTCACCAGCAGCAGATAAAAGGAATTGTCACCAGTGTATGAAAGTCATGTGGCCTCTTTCTAGCATATGTGAGATTAACTTTTTAATTGGTTATAAGAATGTTGTGGGGGAGAATGTTGTGAAGTTGCCCTGTGTTGGTGGCTCACTCCTGTAATCTTAGCTACTCAGGAGGCTGAGATCTGGAGAATCTCAGTTTGAAGCAGAAAAGTCTGTATGACTTCATCTCCAAAATAATCAGCAGCCAGGCTAGAGGTGTAACTCAAGTGTGAGAGCATCAGCCAAGCAAGCCTGAGGTTCTGAGATAAAGCACCAATACTGTCAAAAACAACAGCAACAACAAAACCAAATGTTGTGAAGACAGGTTCAAAAGGCAGAGACAGAGGTTACATGTTTTCTCTAGTATATGGATGCTAAACCTAAAGATAAACATAGGATCATATACATGTATGTATGTGCCTGTGTGTGTCACATATATAAACACTTTGGTAATTGTAGGAATATATAAAGGGATTTGAGGGTAGGGGAAAGAATATTAGAAAAAGAACAATACTAAAATCATCTGTGAATGAAGATGGCAAAATGTAACTCAGTGAAAGTAGTTGAACAATCGGAAGCAGGATAGATGGGAAAATGAGGGTAAGTGTGAAATACATATATGAAAACAGAGCAACGAAGCTTGGTAAGATTGTTTTGGAAAGCAGGGGAGGGAAACAAGAGAAAGGAAGAAAAGGATGAATCAGATCAAGGTACATTGTATGTGTACATTGACATATCAAAATGACCACTTCCCAGCCCTCCCCCCACAACCAATACTTGTAAGAATTGGGGAAGGCCAGGGTACCTGGTGGTGCACGCCCCAGAATCCTAGCCACACAGAACACTGAGGTCTGAGGACCACAATTTGAAGCCAGGCTGGCAGGAAAGTCCATGAAACATGTATCTCCAATTAAGTAGCCAAAAGCCTCAAATGGAACTGTGGCTTAAGTGGTAGAGCATACTAGCTTTGAGCCTCAAAACTCAGGGAGCATCAACAACTCAGGGCCCTGAGTTCGAGCACACACTCAAAAAATAAATGGGGGAAGAGTGTTGTGTTTCCATTTATGTCATATTAGCTATCAATCTATCTAGATAGATAGATTCCACTCTCTCCTCCAGTTAAAGACCCCTGGACACATCATCCATTCAAGCCCCTGGTAATCTGGTCTAGTTTTCAGAGAAACGGGAGCGCAGGACCTGTCAGTGTGGTCAGGAATGGGTAGGGGAAAGGGACATAAGAGCGAAGCGAAACAGTGTTCCCTTGCTGTAAAGAGCTACCTGACCCGACAGGAAATCACAGTTATCGTAACGTGACTAAGTGAACCGCAATGCGGTCCGCGCTTCGGTTTCTGATCGGAGTGCTTTAAATGAGAGCGTGTCACGTTTTCTTCCTTTCTCCCCCGGAGCCCACATTTCAGGTCTGGCCTCACTTCTGGCGGCCAGACAGGAAATGTTCCCAGGCACAGGATAAGCCTATTTGCAGAGGGCAAAGGGGTGGGGTGAGAAAAGGGAAGAAAGAAACAAAAGAAAGAAAAACACCAACTTCACTCGGGCTGGAGCTAGGTGCCCCCAGCCGGTCTCCAGTTTCCTAGAAGGAGGGATCCGCCGCCTCTCCCCGCCCTGTGGGGGGCGTGGTCCTGAGTGTATGCTAATTACCTCGCCCAGTGCCAGTGGGTGGAGTCTCCACTGTATGCTAATGACTCAATGCGGGAGGGGCCAACTCGCCCGGCGCGCGGGGACAGCTGTGGGAGAGCCCCTGGGCACCGGACGCGTGGCCGGGGTGGTGACAGGCTTCCCGGCGCGCCGGTCCATGCTGGTCCCCGTCTTTGTTCTGGGGCCAGCGCGGAGACATGCGCGGCTGAGGATGGAGGTGGAGGACTCCGGCGGGGTGGTGCTGACCGCCTACCACTCGTACGCGCGCTCCCAGCCGCCCAGCACCGAGCCGCGCTGCGTGCCCCGGGCCGCCGCCAGCCACCCGCTCAGCAGGTACTGAGGACTTCCCCCCCGGGGCGCCCCGCGGGGAGGGGCCGCGGGCCTCTGCCCGGGCACGGAACTCTGGTCCCTCGTTTGTTGGGAGAAGTTTTCCCGGACTAGAATGACTGAGCCTGTTCTTTGTATTGTCCTGGTGGGAAGTAGGAAACGCACCCCTGTCCCCCAACCCTGGGCCGAAGTCGTTGGCCAGCCTAGGCTAGAGGTGGACTTGGGTTCTTGGCACAACTTTATGATCAGTGAGAGGTACACCTCATCTCTGTCGAAGACATCCGTAAAGTATTGGAGAAATCTCAAAATACCAGCTCAGATGAAACACAAAATGAAAAACTGAAAACCCGCTACAATTTTAGTGTCACTTCTAAGAGCTTTTCTAGAATTCGTGTGCCAGCTGAGCTAAAGGGTGGATTGAGATTCTCCAAAAAAGTAAATCTCACTATGCTATTAAAAATAATCTTCTTTCTAGATGTTAAATGTCATCTATTTCGTCATTGCTACTCTAGACCCTATGCTGTAAGGGCAATTATGATTTATTTCTTTCAGGCACAAGAGGAATACAATCACTTGTTCACAAGTTCATTTTAGCTTTAATAAATCAGGGCTCTGAATTGTTCTGTGTTTATCTCTTTGATAAGAGATCAAGGCCAACTAGACTTCCACTAACTATATGAAAAAGTTTAGGTGGCTAGGCCAGAGTGACAATAAGTGAAGTGATTTGATACCTAGCTTATCTGTAGGGGAAGTTTTGTTTAAATGTGACTATCTGCTGTAGATGTCTTATTTCCAAGTGGCCAATTTGAGAAGTGTGTTTTTATTTCATCCCATTTATTTTCAATGATTTCATTTCTCAGTGATTTCTTTTCTCATACTTTTGTCTTTCGTCATGTGATAAGATTTACTGCTGTCTCCTGAGTTAAGTGATTTGGGATTTTACTTTGTAGACTGTTCTTTTGGCTGATATTCATGCTGGAACAAACTACATTAACATGACATCTATGTTGAGTTTTTCTATCAAAGAAATTATTGTTTCTTCCAAGAGAGAGCAGGATGAGTCAAATCACATTTTTATATAAAGATAGGCATTAACACATGACTTCCAGCAGTAGGAGTTTTATACATATTATTTTAAAGGCTACTTGAACATACAAACTCATAATTGTCTTTAGGATGTTTTCTCTTCAAAATCATCATCTTTATTAAATTATGAATGAATTAACAGATGCAAACAGTTGGATGAGAAGCATGGGGCAGGTTTGTGCAATTTTAAATGAAAGGTTCTGTCTGGCCTGTTTATAAGTCTCAGCAGCTGTCTAAGAGCACTAGCCAGATATCTGAAACTACATCCGTTTCCAAAGCAAATTGGAAGAAGTTTTTTATGAGCTCAGCATGTGGTCTTGTGGAATGAAAATACATGAGGGCAGGAGGGTTGCATGTCATGGCTAGTTTTTTAATGGAACATTGCCAGTTAAATTTATGTTGTCCAGTTTTGGACAATGCCCTGCACTCCCTTTAGCAGATTTGTTGTTGCTCAGCCTTTCATGAAGGAGATAGAGAGGGGAGCCCTGGGGGAAATAGCCTAATTCCTTGGTCCCAAGTAAAAGCACTAAACTAAAAGAGGTTCCTGTATTCATAAGGAGCCAATAGACACCACATCATTAATCATGTGTCTGAGAACAGAAATAATCAGGCCCAAGTTATTAACCTTTGACTCACAAACTACTGATCAATACTTCCTTTCAAGCTAAGAAGTAAGATGGTATTGTTCTTCTTAGGAAAAAAGCACTCTTTTTCAAGAACATCCTTTCCTTTAAATTGCTTACATATTTGTAACCTATTTGTGGTGTACTGACCAAGAAGCTGTAGAAACTTGGTCTATGTCTGACTTTCTAAGTACAATTATTTTTTAGCTCTTGGTAGCATTGATTGAAATCACACTCTTTCCTTCTTACTTCCCAAGTCTCTACTACACCTGACTTGATGCGTTTTTTATATTTTTGGTGTATTTCTCTTACTAACACTTTAATGTTTCTACTCCTGATCCCCACCTCTACATTTGGTCCATTTTTCCTCCTCTGTTGTAGTCCAGCTCTCCAGAGCAGTATCTGGTATATTGTAACAGCTCAATAAACAATTCTTGAATAAATTAATGAATTCCTCTCAAAATTATAAAATGGCCTAAGATTAGATAGTTTTTTTAACTGCTGAAATCAGACTATTTTTTGTAACTCTATATGCAAGCAACATGTTAGACACTGGATATGCAAGTTAATGAGATAGCAGTAGGTGAAAAAAGATGAAATAAGTAGCAATATTTCTAAATCAGGAGACAAGATATAAATCTTTATTTCCAGTTCTCATGAATATGCACCAAAGGATCCAAGAACCCTAGCAATTTCTTTTGAGCATACACATTTCATTTTGCCAAAGGCTAATACATTGTGCTCAAAGCCAGCAGAATATACTGGGGGTCAGATTGCCATACCTTGACATCAAGTACACCCACTGTTATCCTGTGGCTTTGAGCAGTTGACTTGGGCTACTTACAATATTGACTGACCCAAAGGAAGCACCAGATAGGTTTGTTAACTGTGTTATGGCCGCTGTCACTGTGAATCACAGTTGGTGATGTCAAGAGGAAAATAAACACTTTGGTTCTTGTATTTCTATCAGGGAATGGGAACATAAAACAGGATCAAAATATTCTTTTTTTTTTTAGAGTGAAAGGGACAATTTATTTAAATCTGAGTTTTACAGCTTCCATCTCATCATTTGAAAGAGTTTGAGGGATCAGTTGTCCTTATCTCCTATGATAGATTGTTCAGTTTCATTCATTATGAGTCAGAATGAGTGAAACTGTTTCAAATCACATAAATGCATGGGCTTATGAGGGACTTGTGGGTTGATAGCAGATTGTAGGTTTGTTGATAATAAGTCATCCTGGATTTGGATTCTTTTTTAAAATCAGTATGCACTGTAAATAAATTAATCTTTTGATCTTTAACATACAGATTAGTCTTTGTCTTCTGGAAGTTTAGCAACTTAAGGACAGTTAATGCTCCTTTGTTCTTCTGATTTTGCTTTCTGTGTTTGCATTCTGCTAGAACACTTAAATTACTGCTTTATTTCCTTTTGTACCTCTGGGATATTCCCCCTTCTGTGTTTCTTTAAGAATTTTTTGTTTTCTACAGTCTCTCTTACAATATTCCTTAATTTTAAATAGTGTTCAGAAATGGATTGACTCAATGGTCAATTTTTACAGTTAACGTTATTTACTCACATTAGTTTTATCTTTTTGAGTTTTTTAATTAAAGTATTTTTAAAATTCTATTTTTGCTATGACTTCTAAGAGGTTATGCTTTCAACATCAAGTTTTAGTTTGTTTCTTGGTATTAGCAGGCAAAATACTAGATATCCTCAGTTCTGTTAAATTGTTGAAGTGTCTTTAGAACCATTATTTTTAGAAAGGATAAGCTTCTATGCAGAATCCTGAGAATGTTGATGTACATCCAAAATAATTTTACTTGTAAAATGAGAATAGTTGAACAAAAAGCTGATTTTTTTCCAAGACTTTGCTTTGTTTCTATACAAATAATTAGTTACAACATTTGTGGGGGTGGGCATAGGGGAAAATGGCCATGATGATTTCTGATGTTAATCTAGTCATATTGTAAACTTCCTGAGAGAAGATAAAAATAGAAGAGGAAAAGAACCAACTCTTCCTCCAAAGCAAATATAGACAATAACCAAGGGTATCTGAATTTCTCATGCTAAACATTGTTTCAGCTTTGGTGAAGGAGATATGGTTTCCTAATCCCATAACTATGCTTTATAATGAGAATAATTTGATGAAAATTATAGGTAATTAGGAAGTCAATACTTTATTTTGAAGAAAGTTGCTTTTTAGTGATGTTGTATTTGCTTTTGGTACCTTCCTGTGTTGAAATGAATTAATCTCAATGGATAAATGTCTAACTTTTGTAAATTTAGACATTTATATAGGCCTTCATAAACTTATGCATACATACAGAAGGATAACAAATGCTGGAGAATAATAGGGACACTTAATCTGTAGGACTCAGAACTAGTCATGGAAATGGAGTTCTTAGGAGAGAATGGATATTTATAGGTCATTCTTTATGTTATGGTTGAAAGGAGAGTTGGTGTCTCTGGTTTCATTTTAGAGAAAGGCTCCTGCTGAGTATAGTTGCCTCTGTATATAGGCCTGTTGAGTAACATCTGGCGTATTTCCTTTCATCCTGTCATTTAACTAAACATTTGGCCAGTTACAGTATCCATTTTTTTGTTGTTGTTGTTGCCAGTCCTGGGCCTTGAACTCAAAGCCTGGCTCTATCCCAGAACTCAAAGCCTGGCTCTATCCCAGTGCTTTGTTGCTCAAGGGCTAGCACTCTTACTGCTTGAGCCACAGCTCCACTTCCAGCTTTCTTGGTGATTAATTGGAGATAAGAGTTTCACAGACTTTCCTGTTCATGCTGGCTTTGAACCCTCTGATCTCCGCCTCCAAAGTAGCTAGGATTACAGGTGTGACCCACAAGTGCCTGGCTAGCATTATTCTTTTAATCTGCTCACTTCTCTCTGATCATTAATCCTTAAAGTGTTCACTAAAGTTTGGAGAGTTCTAGAACTACCTTCATATAGATGATGATTTTCTTCTTGTTATTTTGACATCATTTGAAAATTACAGGAAACTTGTAAAAATAAGTTTTCCCAGTTGTCAGCTTCTTAAATAATCCATTACCCATGGCCAAAATGAAACATTAATCCTGGCATACTTTTATGAATTAAACTCTGTGTGTGTGTGTGTGTGTATACATACATATGTATATATATAGTCAGTTTTGGGGCTTGAACTCTGAGCCTGGCCACTGTCCTTGAGCTCTTCAGCTCAAGGTGAGCAATCTACCACTTGAGCCACTTCCGATTTTTTGATGGTTAATTGAAGATGAGTTTCACAGACTTTCCTGCCTGGGCTGGCTTTG